ACTGGTTGGCGTTTTCTAAACTTCACAAACCGCTCTTCACTGAACATGGCTCTGTCAAGTTTCCAAACACGAACCCACCAACAGATGAAAACAACAACGCTTACTGCGAGGTAAGTTTATAGCTGTATGGAAAATTAACAACCAATGGAAAAACAATGAAAGCTGAATTTTGTCTTTAATAATTAATTAGTAATTCTAGATGAAAATAAATTAAGCATTTAAGCAGTTTTTTACGTTTCCATGTGTACTAACAATATGACTTGTCGCTAATATGGCGCGCATTTGAGGTGTAAAATGTTAATACAGATAACAATAAAATTCAGATAACGTGTAGAAACAGTACGTATAATAAAAGATCCAATTATTTCTTGTGTTGTAGTTTGTGCAGTTTGCACGAAGTTATAACATTACACCATCAGTCCTGATATCAGCCAATCACAGCACAACAGCAAGCGGAAACTTGGCACCAGTTCATAACGGTATCACAACATGGATTGAGGTAAAACACAATGCATTGCTTCTTTCAACTGATTACGAAATATACGCTTTTGTGAAATTCTTCCCCTCATGGAGAAATTTATTGTTACATATCTGCTGTTTGGTGTTTCAATCAGTGTCTACCGCAGAGTAGTCACCGAGTCAGACAGAAATTACTTCAGTTTTTGTTTATTTCCCATTTCCAGTTTATTAAATGATGTGATACGAACAAGAGATCATTATTCAGAAAATTTTACTTCCGTTAAAATTACTACACGTCCTGCGCGTGCTGTCGAATTTTGCCATCATTATCGTCATTATCATCATTATTAGCAGTATTAATGACTATAGCACGATGCTTGTTTCATATTTGCAGAACATGAATACGTCTGGATTCAGAACTTGTGTCAAGGAACTGTATGCGACAAGATATGATCCAGTGTCAGTTAGTTATTCCGTTGTAACAGGTTAGAAATATCTTTATTTTACAATGCCTCGTTGAACAAGAAAGAATCCCTCCCCATCTGTTAAACATAGAGCGCTGACAAATATTTGTTCTTTTCTTAGACATCTGTGATCCTGGTTGGAGCTACTTTAATGGCTACTGCTACTTTACAAGTGTACGTTGTACAAACTGGACCACAGCGGTGCAAAAATGTCGACAAGTAGACTCGGTCCTTGTTGATGTCAGCAGCAATGAAGAGAATGTGTATTTACAGCATCGACATAATGGCGTCAAATCTTGGCTGGGCTTGAATGATAGAACCATAGAAGGCAACTTTACTTGGGAGGATCAAGGAGAAGGAAACTTTACAGCTTGGGCCAAAAATCAACCAAATAATTTCAGAGGAGAAGATTGTGTGCATGCACTTGGTGTGGAATACAGCTATGAATGGAATGACGTGCAGTGTAGCGATTGCCATCCCTACACCTGTAAGAAAGGTAAAATATGAATCATTGGGTATTAAGGACGTTTGCGCTAATTGTTTCTGCCTATCCTTACTGCGCACGCAAATTCACACGCCACGTCATGCAGATAGCCATTACTATAGCTTAGCCTGGATTTAACGATCTTGGACGTTCAGTGACCCCCTACTTTTCTTTCCAGAACAGATTTTGTTTACAATTATCTCTACACTGTCCAAAAATGAACAAAAAATTAATGTGGGAAGTTCAAAACATTTCAAGATTTCTGTCCACGGGACATCGAATCCTGCCATCTTGCGGCTGCAAGGCGCGTGAAACTGTGGTCGCTAAATGCGAACTTGTTATTTAAGGGACCTCATTAGTTGACCAAATTTACTTCATAGGTCCTTTTAAACAATATTTGGCAGAAAACATTTCACTTCAAAGATCTAATTGCAATATTTTTAGACTTACAGCCACTGTGGCCTTATTCCCTAACGAAGCCCGATTTTTTCAGATTTAGGGTGTTCTTCTGGGTATGTTCTCTCCAAAACGAAGACGGTGATGCCCCATTTTTTTTACATTTCTAAAGTCGTAAACAGTACTAAATAGCAGATTTTGAAACAATGCGAATCATGCAGGTGTTTCTTCACGCTTTTATCTTTTGCGCTTTGGAGGAAGATGGTTTAAAAATAACAGCAAACCTTAGAACGGGACATAAGTTGGTCAATGCTTTAAGAAGATTTGGAATGCCCAGGAACAATTTGAAGATTCATCAAAATTATACATGGTTTTAACAACAACAAACAAGTAAACAACGACAGCACCAACAACAACAGAGTTTGAACATTACATTTAAAATTTACACATAGGAAAAAAAAAAAAAAAGATAATAGGTAAAACATACAGTGAATACGCAGAAACGATTTTAAATTAAATTTTCAGTGGCTTGGCGTGTTCTTCTGGAAATACTTGGGCCTGATTGGTTCCTTGGTACTGTCTATTTGCGGACAGTTTTTGATGGAAAAATATGACGCGCAGTTGTGATTAACATACATCAAAATTTGTAGTTTTTAGACTGCATGTAATACTTTATTCGTCTACTAAATAATTAGATTACCCACTCTTGTTTTCCATGAGCGATAGTCAACTCAGCTTCTGCCCCTCGTTTTCGTAGAATACAGCACACGAGCCACTACATCCTAATACATCATTAAGGTTCGACAAGGAGACGTTGTCCGCTTGATGTAAAACCACATTTTATGAACTAATAATAAAAGAAACGTGTGGTGATCAGGACTGAAAGTTATTATGGTTATGTTGTCTGTTCAACAGATCTAAATGAATGTGATAGAAAGACAAATGACTGTCATCAGCATGCCAGTTGTACAAATGAACGAGGATCATATTCATGCAAGTGTAAACAAGGTTACAGTGGAGATGGCTTTAGATGCAAGTCTATGCGTTCCTGTTCTCTGATCAGGAAAAACTTAAGCAGTGTGAGCGGAAATTACGTCACTGATCCAGATGGACCGGGAGGCCTGGCACCATTCACCGTTTACTGCGACATGAGTGACAAGAATGGAGTTGGCGTGACAGTCATCAGTCACGACAGTGAAAGCCGAACTCGGGTGAAAGGTACTAACAATTACTTGCGTGACATACATTACACAGGAGCGAGTTTTTCACAGCTGGCAAGTCTCACCAGAGTCTCGTCACACTGCGAGCAGTTTATTAAGTATGAGTGTCATCATTCTACGATGAGCCTTGGGTCAGTCGCCTGGTGGATGTCACGTGACTCTACTAAGATGACGTACTGGGGCGGAGCATCACCTGGGAGTGGTAAGTGCGCATGCGGGATGACCAACTCATGTGCAGACCGAAGTGATGGTTGTAACTGTGATAAGAATGACCCTGTATGGCGTAAAGACAGCGGTCTCCTGACTGACAAGACACATCTACCAGTTAAACAGCTCAGGTTTGGGGATACAGGGGGTAGCATAGAGGAAGGCTACCACACTCTGGGAAAGCTGAAATGTTATGGCATAGCATAACACCATCATCTCGAGGCAAATTCCTCAATATTACCTTCAGTTGCAAAAATGTTTGGCCTAGTTTACCAAAATAGCAAGTAGCCTTATTTGCACGACAATAAATACAGTGTTGCAACATCTTTTGTAAACTAAAACTAAAACATTAATGATTACGGTGAATATATAACATGGTTATTATATAGCAATTAAGTTACATCGGTTTGATTTGAAAAAAGAATATTGTGAAGATCAAAGCAAGATGAAATTAATTTTGCTTATTGAATATTAACGTAGTGATTTGGAGAAGTCATAGGTTCTTGTAACGGAGATAATTGTTTAAAAGTCGGGACGATATTTTCCATTTGCCAATAAAATTCACCTCTTAGAATAGAGTATTTAATGCAGTACCTAAGAAAGTGAGATTCATCTTCAATTTGATTAGATTCACAAATGGAGTAGAGTCTGTTAACCCTTGGAATTTGATCATATCTTAGTTCAGTAACAAAATTTAGGTTCGGGGTCAGATTCTACTTATTACAAATTAATGGGTAGCAGCAAAAAAGGCCAAAAAGTAAGCGAGAATAAGAAATTGGTTTTCACTCCGTCTCTATCATGTAAAACAAGGAAGCTCCGTATGACATCGTGACAGCTGTGAAAATGTCAGCCTCGGGAAAATTGTAATGTAACCAGACAAATGAAAAAATAAAGCAAGGAAAATTGTTTAAGCTGTTGTTTTTTCAGTTTAATTTAATTGTACGTTCACTGAATATTTTTATATGGTTCATGACGATGTAACGGTTTCAGTGATCATGTGGCCACTCTTTTTTGACAGGAAGAACGTTGTGCTTGTGTTCTAGTGGTTTTAGGGTTGGGGTGAGTAACTCGTCTTGCGATAAAGTGTTTCCTTTCTCTCATTATCCGCAGCAGCGTAAAATAGTCCATGGCAGCCTTAAACAACACTATTTAGATATCACATGAGAACTGCCGCTATGTC